GAGTACTAACATTAGGGTGATCCTTATTTCAACATTAGGGTGATCCTTATTTCAATAAAAATGTTTGGATTTAATCTATTTATCGTTGCTTTTCATCGCACTGTAATGGTTAATTTTTTTGAGCACCACACCCCTTTACAAACCTGGACATCCCCCATCATCTTTCGTCTGATGCCATGACAAGGTCGTGAGACTAAACTAATCTTTAAATCCAATCAAGTTGCAATTGCCATTCCCTAATATTGTGGTCTAAAAGTATAAATTGTGGATGCCCAAAAATCTCATCTGGCAATCCTCCTGCCCCCTCAAGGGGTAAAGTTGGTGTATAAATTCATACCTGTAAATTTTGAAAATGTGCTACAAAGCAACTATCCCTATTCCAACCCCTTGCAGGGACAGATACAAGATTGAAAGTTAGTGGAAGTGGGCAAGATACTGTGCCCTCTATCTCAGGTCCATCGTACCATGATTGAAAAAGCGATGCGTACATTCATATAATTCATAATTATTATTATATATTTATTTCAGAAAGTAATGGAATTGAGAAAAAGTGGTCTGGCCATAGCCGGTTCGGCCGGTGCGCTTCCGATGGCCCTGATATTATTGTTATTATCATTAAGAGGAAAATGTAAATTACTATTATTAATGTAAATATCTTCATTGTTAAATGAAGAAATAGTAGAGATAATAGCCAAAACATGCTGCAATGTCAAAATCTTTGAAATCTATTTTATTACACTAAACTAACCTTTATATATCTATATGTCATGCTACAGTATGCTGTTATTTTCCCCATTTTTAATGTTAACTGCAATTTTGAATGACTTACTGATGGGGTCTGCCAGAGAAATGCCCAAAATCATAGACTTTGCAGACTCATTTCTCAAATATTGTTCTTTAAACAGCTGTATAGTATGTTTTAAACTCTTGTAACTTCATACCAAAATGTCAGATTTAAGTGATTCTTTTACCATTTTATATTTCCATTTTACTGTGTAACCCTGTATTAATTAATAAAAATAATTTTTTGCGATGAGTGACTGGTTTGGCTTGTCTTTGCTACATATGGTGAGCATGTATACAGTATTGCTGTAAATAATGACTTGTTTGTAGACCTACATTATAAGGAGGCCTGCCTATAGACATGTCAGATAATTAATAAATTAATAGTTTTAGAACTGTTATCACTTGAGTATTTGAATACAGATGCCAATACATATCTGTCAGCCGATAGTAGAGTATCATATTAATTTAAATAATGCCTTGGGGTGGTACTGTTAAAGCAGCTTTTTATAGAGAGTGTTCCTTCTAGGTACTGTAGCATTTATTTTTTGCTATTAAAATGGGTAATGTACACAAATAAACATCCTTGTCTTTTTGTTAAATGGAGAAATACATGTACAGTTCTGCACATACAGAAACTGTATGAAGATGAAAAAAACAAATACAATATTAAGTAAATAAACTTTCTTTAAAAACACAATTAAATTGAAAATGCAGTGACATTGATAAACCATTTAATAATATCAACTCATAACCAGCAATAAAAACCATTTGTTTGTCACTCTAAAGACAGTTAGTATATTCCAAATGGCCGTTTAACACATTTTAAAAATTCATATCACTTTAAGCAACATCTAATAATGTCATTTTTGAATTAAAATCATTACTTCCCATTGCATTTCAATATATTCTCAGTAGTAGTATATTGATTCACGAAGCAGAAATCAACAAATACATAATCTTTTTCATCATAATTGTGAGAAACCTTACATAAACTACACATTACGGAACATAAATCATTCAAAAAAGCAAAAGTTACTCACAGAAAATTAAATAATATAGATTGGATTGGGTTTAATGTGTACTGTAGTCAGACCTGTCAAGTCTCACGCATCCTGTGGCAGTCCCACGCATTTAACTTTGACCTCATGCCCTCACGCAAAACCTATTTATTCTCACGCATTTCAGAATTTCTTCAAATTATATTTTTTTAATGTGCTATTTTCTCAAAACAAGCATACAACATGTAAAAATAAGTAATGGCGCTAGCGATCCCGTAGCGATCATCACAGTGTTTGACGCCGCCTCAGCAGAATCTGAAGAAAACTAAATGGGATATCAAAGTGACACTTTGTATCAATGTATTCACTGTAAGGTTTATGTTATATTGACGCTTGACTGTATTTTCCTTAAGGTTTGTGACCTTGTGCATAATTTTAAAAAAATGCCCTATCTCAAGCAAATCCAGAAGAAATCTGAAGTAAGCCAGTGTGAGACCCTTGGCAGGTCTATGTGATTGGTTTGCATGTTCCTGATATTTACAGCACAGTGAAAGGATCATACTGTAGGCCCTAGATGAATCATACGATCCTTGCAAAAAAAGACTGCAAAAAATTGAATAAAAAATCATTCTGCAATTGAAGTGTGTGAGATGATGAAGGCTTCTACAAGTTCTAGGTTAGTAGTCATTAAATTATGAATAGAACTTCATGATAGAATTCACCAAGAGTGATATTCCTTTCAATAATTTTTATGACACTCAATTTGGCCCTCGAGCGTGTATTCAAAGCAAAGCGTTTATTTGCATAATACATATTACTCACTGCCACGTACTGTATGCCAGATAAGCTTCAACATTTTTTAGAAAATTAAATTTGCTTTAACTCTATATATTTTTTGTCCTGGCTTACAACTGTAAATTTGCAACGGGAATCACTTTTCCACACCAAATAACAGTTGTTTTAATATTGGTACTATTCCAATTGTGTCCATAAAACTGTACCTTTTAATTACAATCAGTAAATTTGAGGACTTTCATAGTGAAACGTTTTTGTAAATTATTTCATTGAGATGACAAGAAATGCATTATCGTTGTATGTAGTCCATGGCTGGATGTGAGATGTAGTGTAGCAGTTACATAATCAATAATTTTTGAATAACTATTTTACAATTTATTATCTCAGCCAGGAGATATGTTTTTGTGTATGTGTGTATGTGTCATGTTTTGATATTTTCATGCGAGTTTGTTGTGTTTAAAATATTGCAAAAAACAGCTGCACAGACCTAGATGAAAGTTACAGGAAATGTTAGGTATGACCCAAAGATGAGATGATTACTTTTTTTATACCTTGTTTAGTGAACCCGGCGACTGAAAATGTTGATGATTTCAAATAAAAATAAAATTTTATTTTTGGCCAATTAGCGCACCCACCGCCACGCAGTTTTTCAAATATTTTCCTATTGTCTCCTTTCTCCCAATTTTGGTGTTAAGCTTTTATTGTTGATTGTTAAAGGATTATATGTATTTATTTACTACAATATTATTTTTTTCTAAAATGTTCTAAAATATATGGTATCAACATGCTGCCTACTGTATATCAAGTGTTACAGTAGTTATTCATTATTTAGACCTACTGAAGATTGTTCATAGATTTTTCTCTGCTGTGGTTGATTAAACCTGAGACCAAATAAGAAGCATAATTTCTGTCCAAATTGTCATTGTACAACCTCTATCTACTTGAATAATAATAATGTCATCTTATAAGGCATACATATCCATCAGATATCTGCCTGTGGCCATTTTCAACCTACAAACGGCAGCCTTTTCTGCATTTATAAAAATTATTTATTTATTCTTTGAAATTTTATACTTCATATAAAAGTATTATTACAGTAATTGAAATAAATGGAAAAACAGTCAAAAATTAAAATGATCTCAGGGATCAACATTCGTTACCATTCTGACACGTTCCTGATATGCTAATAGTTTGGCATATGCTTAATATCATGTGGCGGATCCAGGAATTCATAATAGAGGAGGCCCAAGAAAGGGACTTCCACAGGTGACTGGAAATGGCACTCTCAGACTTGAATATGTTTTCCTTTTTTTCCGTATTTAAAAAAAAAAAATTTGAAAATTCCCCCTTCCCTTGAACCCATCACTGACATGAAACTGGCCTGCATTCAAAATGTTATCTTGTCATAATTACATCCACTCAAAATGACATCAGCTTGTACATCGTATACTGTACTGCCCTCAAAGGCGGTGTGGAAAAGAACTGTACACCGTGCTACAGAATGACTAGGCTGTTACGATGGGCTCCTAACAGCTTATTCCCCAAACGTTCATTAATGAATACAGGACTACCTCATTTAAAAAAAATTAATAACCTATAAATGTTAATACGGTATAAGATACTTTTTATTCATTGTGTATTTAGCCAAAAGAAATATATGAATAAAAAGAAAAAAGGAATAAAAAATATTATAAAAATAATGAATGTTTATAAGTGCAGTGGCCTAGAATATTTCATGAGGTGAAAAATTGGTTGCTCTATTTAATGAGGTCTAGCGCTTTACCTGTGGCAGGATCATGAGGGATTAAGAAAATTTTTCCTGACATTGCATTTGAGAATTTTTTTCGTCTCTAGGAGCGGAAAAGTACACTATAGTGTTGATAGTCGCTCAAATAACTATGGAATATTCAAAGTAATTGAATCCCATGTTACCAGTATTCAATGCATCCACACAATACTCGGAAATGAATAATTTTAACTTTAGAAACACTATAATGTATCCTAATGAATATATTGACTACTCCCGTAGTCTTTATCAGTGCTTGACATACAGTACAATGAACATTCTGTGATAATTGAGTGTCTGTTATACACAATGTGTATAATAATATATATTATTTTAATACAATGTGTGTATATTATCACTAAATTATCTCAGAATGTTCATTTTATGTAAAGACTACCACTATTGTAAAATAAAAATAGTACATTCAAATCATATAAGATTGTGACCCATTTTGAAAAATGTAATCATTTGTTGCCAAATATACATTAGACATACAGTATAACTTCAAAATTGCTAATTAACAATATAATTTTGGAGCTATGTATTTCCATGATTTGGGTGCTCCTACCTGGTTTTACATGTAAAATTATTATAATAAACATATTTTATGTATAAATTTATATTTCCTTTTTCAGCCAGTAGCCAAAAAATCTAAAAAAGAAGGCAAAAAAAAGTCAAAAGAGTCTTCAAGCAAAGATGAAGATCCCAACAGGTTTGAAGTAAGTACAGTAAGAAAATAGCTTGGCAGTGGTGGCACAAGGATTTGCCCAATGAAGAGGAGCTGAGCCCTGACAATTTAAAGCCTTGGTGTGGCCACCAAGGAGGGTAAGCCCCTGGCATCTAAAAAAAAGCAAAATAATATGGGGATCGGACTGTCCAATAGGGTCTTAATCCTCTTGCCCGCACTGGTGAAATTGCTTGCCTGTGGGTAGAAAGAGTTGGTTGGGAGGGGCTCTTAGGCAACACTTTGAATAAGAGTTCAAATGGGATAACCTGTCGGAAGCTTGGATATCCTAGTGTATGGGGATGAGTTTAATGTAACCCTTGGGATGTGTAGGATTTCAGATGACGTAACATATTATATGAAATGAATTTTAATAAGTATGTGATAATTTTTATGATGATGATAATGATTTTGGGTTATTTTTGCTATGAAACTTTATTTTCTTGTTGGTCTTCTAAGTTAACTATACAGTAAATGAAAATAGTCAGTTTGTTTTGTACAGTCTATTACAATTTATCAATATGTTTAATTCTTTTTTTTTTAAATATTAATTATTAGTGTACTTTAAGGCAAGCAGAGAAGCAAAACAATCTTGTAAAGTTGTAAACAAATTGTGCCCCCGTATTATGATAAGTTAATATTATTTATGGATTATATTAAATGTGTGAAAAGTGTTTTTAGGTCTCTTTTTTTGCCTGCCTCTAAACTTTGTTAGTTTTATGTTTATAAAATGCAGGTCGATAGCTCTGTTTGTAGGCGTTGATTTTGTATTTAAATATGTCCGAACAAGTTATTATATGAGGAATATGTAGTTAATTGTATATATATTGTTTTTTTTTGTAATGAAAAATACTGAAATACAACTTTTGCTATCCTACAAATTGTATATAGTGCATGCTTCTGTTATTTCTGCAGCTATCCAGAACAAGGTTTGTTAATGTCAGAGAATTTAAGGGTAAAGTGCTCATTGATATCCGTGAGTACTATGAGGCTGGTGGTGAAATGAAACCTGGAAAGAAAGGTAAACATGAACAAACTAAATTATTCACTAATAAAGTTGCATCATCCTTATCATTAGGTCAAACAGGCTCAGGTTGATTTTCATCATTTCTTACATCTTTCTATTATCAAGACCTAGCAGTGGTAAGGAAACTTCTGGCCTGTGATCTAGTGAGCAATTTGAGGCATAAATCACGACCTATATTTTCTCATCCACTGTGCATACCATTATCAAAACTAAATCAATAATGCAACAAAAAGAATACATTTATGATTAATAGATTCATAAACAATAAACCTTAAAGAAATTACTGTATTGTCCTTTTTATTTTGCTGCTTTGGTCACCTGATAGCCTTCCCAATACTTTCAGTAAAATATGGTTTGGTGTTTCCTAGTTACCTTTTATTGTTATTTCCTCCTTTATAATATTATTGCTATTTAAAATTCAATTATTATGTATTATTATTGCTATTGTTATTAATATTGCTTTACATTTACATAATTTATTATTATTTGTTTTTACAGTTTTTACATTAATAGTCTTACTAAGATTATATTACAGTACTTGTTTCTATATCTTTTATTAAATATCACTGTATTGTATATTCAAATTAAAAGAAAGTGAAACATCAATATTACCACATCAATATTGCCATACAATTCTATAAATTGATAAACTCATAAATCTTTGGGGGTTGTTCTTGAAAATTTGAATTATGATATTCAATTTGTAGTCAAATTCAACTTTTTATCTTGTAGGAATCAGCTTGTCTGTGGATCAGTGGAAAAAATTAAAAGAGGTAGTGGATGATGTTGACGACAGTATTAAAGAGCTTCAGTGAATGTGAAGTCATCGTGTTATATACATTAAATTGTGACATTATAAGTTAAACTATGACTTTTACCAAAGGCACAATTTATTTTTTTGCCTGTGTTTAACGATTCCTTACCATTTGCATCATCTTTTAGTTGCGATGTTGTTTTGCTTGTAGCTACATCGCCTTCATAGTACACACAGAGTGGCGGATCCAGAATTTGGTGAAAGAGCGACCTCCTGCACAACCAAAAAAAAAATCACTACCAAGTGTGAAATTATTTACAGACGAAAATGGCTAAAATTTCCAGGGTGCATGGAACTATGAACTCTATAAGAGATTAGGGAACACCCCAACCCTCCACCCTTGGACCATAGGTCCTAGATTACTGCACATTCCCCCGTCTAATAAATCTTCGTTTTGCTACTGATACAGGAAACTTCTCATGCTATAAAATAACATTTCTTATGGCTAACATTATTTGTATGTAATAATCTGGAAATTGTATGAAATCTAAATGATAATAATAATACGAATACGCTTTTTAAAAAACAATTTCTCGTGGTAGTTTGTTTCTTTGTATTCGTACAAAATCTTCAAAATCACTCTTTGGTTTGATATACAACAGAGTTGGTGATGCTTTTGGCAATCACAGAGTAAGAAGTAAAATTAAAATTGTATGAATTTGAACAACTTTCAGACTTTTTGATACATTTAAACTTTTATGTTAGCCCAGAGCGCACTGTCGTACTTCTTGATGAATATCACATTCAGCACAACATATTTATAGCCGTACCCATTAAACTATAGTGATTCACCAGCCTATTATGAAGGGTTTTTATAATAGGCTATACAAAATACACATGTTACCGCATACATTATAATAATTATTGTATAGGCCTACACACGATGAACATCCACACACATGATAGTGATAGTGATAATGATGATTGATGATGATGATGGTGATGACGATGATAATAATAATTATTATTATAATTATATGTTATATACATTATATATGTAATGCAGGTTTGTGTTCTTATTCTTATTCTTTATTGCCAGAAACACAACAACAAACACATAGAGTCAACTCGGGGAGTAGGCAGGAACCAAAAAGTGAACTAAATCACTGTAACAAAGTTAAGATTCCATACTCCCTTAGTAGCAAAACAGAACAATATATATATATAGATTTATACATATAAGTAAACTCTTGCGTCAAGAAATCAAATAATTAAAACAGTAAAGATCAAACAGTTTACGCGGCGCAAAAGTAACTAAGCGGAGTGGCTATAACATAAGACATGCGATTTAAGCGAGCGCAAAAAAGTAGGAAAGGAATCAAGGATAAGGGAATTTTTAATATTTTCAGGGAATTTTTCCCAAGTCTGGGAAACAGATGAATGGCAGAAAGGTGAAGAGAGTTAGTTCGAGCATAAAGGTGTCTAAACAAAAGCGTCTCTCGATGGCGACTATTTACAAGTGTGAACTGACGGATGCTACTACAATCGACAACACCAGTAAGCGACTTACAGACAAACGATAACAGAAGAAAATTGTTTGTTTATCAATATATATATTATACATGCCTATAAATACATATTAAATATGGGCCTATATAGGTTAATATTTATTTATAAAATATAAAGAGGCATTATATTGACTTTATGCAAGTATTACACTACATGACATTTTTTTCTGCGAAGCTAACTCGTATTGGGTAAACATTCATATTTATCTTTATGTTGACAGTTTCAACTCTAGATACCTACAATGCTTTGATTTATATACAATGCGTGTGTAATCTTTATTCTCGTCGCATTTAATGCCTTATCATTCACAGAGAGTAGAAGTGACTTCACTTAGATTCTTCACAAACTAAGAAATAAATCAAACACATTTTAATTGGCGCTCTCTCACGAGTTATACTTTAAATTCTAGCCTAAATTCGTCCATACCTGTTGAGTTTGAACATCCCGAGATCGTTCCACACCATTAGAGTGTCTCTGGTACAGAGTATTATTGGCATCAATGCCAACTTACGATGTTATTGATCCATTTAAACTGAATTATACTATACCTTTAAAGGTGTGTATAACTACATTTTTACTGTTGGTTGTAACAAATATTTAATTTATCAGGCAGAGGAGATACATTAAGGTTGTCTATGAATTTCACTCGTACGTCGTGAATGTAAAAGGAAAGTAATTATTTTACGCTTGTTATCCGTACTGATTGTTGTACCTAATATTTATGCGAGTTCATTCTATGTTTAGATTCAGTAGTACTAACCTACATAAAAAGCACTATTTGGTAAATTGGAGAGTAAAATATAAGACAAAATGAATTATCGCGTAGTTGGACGACCATTCTGCTTGACGCCATTTTTTCTAACCGACTTTCCTAATTGAAAGTACGGTAATTTGACGGATGTACCCAACCTGAGAATGTTCTGAATTAATGAAAAAATACATTTGAAAACATGTTAATATGTTGCTTTCATTTTCTTAAAGTGAATCGGTTTATGAATAATTCAAAATGAGGTACATATAATCTGATTTATGCTGCTACTAAAAAAAAACATATCAGTTAAAAGTTGATATTAATTCTGCTCACTCTGATTTCAGTCATTGAATTGTAGTGTAATCAAATGTTATTCCCACTTCACTTTGGCGGCTAGAGATTCAGATATATTGAACAACAATAACTAATACTGTACTATCAATATTTTGAAATGTTTCAGGGCAATAAGAAACAAGAAAAACGGTCTTCCGAGGAGAATTGGCCAGGTTTACAGTCTAGGTCTATGTTTAAGTCAAGAAGAAGAAAGCAAATTTTATAAAGTATTCCGTCATGAAGACATTTAGCAAGTGAAAAAGGTTGCTTTTCATGAAACCTGAATGCGTTTTGACATGTTAAGAAATTAGGCCTAATGGGACCCTGGAGAATGTCACAGTGTATCCTTCGAAAAATGGTCTACCTATACTTGACGTCTAGGTCTATTTTGAGTCAAGAAGGTATTCAAAAAGTATGGTAATCCATCATGAATACTTTCACCAAGTGAAAAAGAAAGATTGCTTTCCATATTAAATAGGTTTGACACGTTAAAAAGAAGTGGGCCCAAAATTGAGCCCTAGGGAATAACGCAAGCCTATCATAAGCCACCTTGATATTCGCCTTCCATCGATAACAGCTCGCTACTTCCTTCCATCTCAGTGAAAACGAGATCAGGTCGACATGAAGACCAAAATGGAAGACTGGTATGTAAAACGAAGAGGACTTATTACAAACCCTTGTGGAACCCAATTTCGATTCACATACACGCAGCCTGTCGATGTGCACATCGACACTATAAACTAAAACCACTGTAATACGGACAAGGACAATCCGTGGTTGGAAGTGGTGGGGACGAATGAATAATAAAGCCTTGGGCCGTAGGCCCAAGCCTTGGTTGGGCACCAGGGGGAAAAGCCCCCGGAAGCTCTGGCGCCTGTAGCCTTTTAATTGATTTTAAGCAATGCAATCAACATTTATTTCCATACGCTATTTTCAAAATATCCAGTGGCGGATCCAGTAATTTGAAATAGAGCTGGGCCCAGAGAGGGACTTTTACAGATGGAGAGCTTAGACCAACTCAGCTCCACCATGGTTGGGGCTGATGTAAGAAAATTTATGATTATGGCATCTTTCAGACTTATTTGAATATAATTTTCATTTTTTCCACTTTTAAATTTCGAAAAAAAATTAGTGATGGTGGGCCGGCTGGGTCCCTTGAATCTGCCACTGAAATACTCATCATAGAAAGTTTTTAAAATTATCCTTTTAGTCATAATTATGCCCGCTTATATATTTCATGCAAACTAACTTTCATAAAAATAATGATTTATTATCTACTAATTAGCTTGTGACGTATTCAAAATTCGAACCATGAAAAACAATTAAGATAAACTTAAAACAGTCTTTTTGCATGTACAGTACTATTAAAATCAGTCAAGAGGTTTTTGCTTTTCTCCCCTTTTTGAATTTCACTTTTGTGTAAGTAAGCGGAAATAATACCGTCTAATTTACGATCAGGACACAAAACATTAGTTATCATTTTGATTTCACAAACATAAAGGTGATTTACTTAATTTATCATTATCAGTGGCGGGCCCAGGAAAGCAAAATAGAGGTGAAAAGTGGGGGGGGGGGTGGTGGAGGACAGGGAGGAAGTGGGGGGGGGGGTGGTGGAGGACAGGGAGGGACTTGCACAATTTGGGAAAGTAGATCACCTCAGCCCCACCATGGTTGGGGCTTAGGAAAGAAAATTTATGATTGTGACACCTGATTTCCTGTAATGGCACTCTCTGACCGAAATTTTAATTCTAATTTCATTTTGTTTTTTCCATTTTTAAAAAATAATTTTGAAAAATTTAGGGTTGGCTCGGCCCCACTTGAATTCGCCACTGATTATTATGACGTCATTGCGAGATTGCGTCAACGAAGTTTTTAAACTTTTGGTATCACTAAATCAAAGTAGGTAGACATGTCCGTGTCAAAGGGTGTATAATTATTGTTTAATAATGGCTATATGAAATTCAATTGACTAACTATAATTTTTTGAAATTAGGAAAAGCAGTAATCCTATAGTGTATGTAGATAATATTAAACACTAGTATATACGTACGAGTCAAAATACCGTAGTATACAAAAGGAATAAATCGTTTATAGTAGAAATTGTGCACTTTTGAGTTTGTAAAAACACTGACCTAATAAGTATACACGCTTCCAATTTTAACAACGTTAAGTACACTGTTTTAACAATAAATTTAGCCTCTGATAACCACTGCACCCATGAAATCGATCTAGTGTTTCTGAGATGGGTACGAAATGTATAAACTATTGCGTTTTTACTTAGTTTTAGAAAATACATACCACACTTGGAAAAGTGAACAGGCAAAATTCATGAGTCATGCGTAATTGTTATTCTTTCCATACACTTTTAAAAGTGGGGTTTTAATTAGAGAAGATTGGTGATAAATGGGGGGGGGGACAATCGATATGATGTTCCCCCTACTTTGAAAAGTGGGGGACGTGTCCCCCCTTTCCCCCACCGATCGACGCCCATGAATACAGAGAATTATACAATCTCAATAACGATTAAATTGAGATTGTGTAATTCTACTGTGTTAAGGGAGTTCTTTTTTTGTTTATGGTGTCGATGTGCACATCGACAGACTGTGTGTTTGTAAATCTAGAAAAACAACCCTGGAACATTCTTTGTCTAATGTCTTATACTGCCATCCTACTAAACTACTATACTCCCATAGCTCCGATGATAATTTTTTATTGTCCAATTTTACCTTAATGGATGATATATACGTATTAGGACTAGATGTGACGTAATGCTTAGTGCACATTAAGTAAGCGGTATTCCGTATACTCAATATGAACAGGAGAAGGTGAGAGTTAAAAATAGTGACCTACGAGTTGAACCAATTCAACTATTAATTATCAAGTTCAGTATCAAAACGCCACTCAAAGAGTAAAGTACAGTAGATCAAACGAATCGA